TTTTTTTTTTTTTCGAGAGTTGGATATTTTCACACTTTGAAGAATCCGCCTGAGAAATTTCCAACAAGGGATGCGTGTAGTGTGCAGTGTGTATTGCAGACGTGATTCGACGACGCAATCTTCGTACACGGTGTATCAAACTGCTAGTGTTGGATGAAGCAGATGAAATGCTCAACAAGGGTTTCAAGGAACAAATCTACGATATCTATCGCTACCTTCCACCGGGTGCTCAAGTTGTGCTGTTTTCGGCTACGCTTCCGCACGACATCCTCGAGATGACCAGCAAATTTATGACCGACCCCATTCGTATACTTGTAAAACGGTTCGTGAGCGCCCCATTATTTGTTCTAATTTGTTTTTAGATAATCACCAAATTGAGATTTTCTTTTGTAGCTATGAAATAAATGTGTCTTAAGTGAACGAACTGATTTTTGAAGTTTAGAGTAAAACTCACTGAAAAGGGAAAGGTTATTCGTAACAGTTAGCTCATGGTATTCTAATTAATTCAGTAAATGCAGAAACTTTTTTTTAAAATAAATTCCAAGTAGATTGAAAGTTCGTGTACTTTTGGGAAATTTATTTCGTGTAGCTGTTGAGAAATTCAAAACTTTTACTTGTTCTCTGATCTCGGTGAGGATTCACTGCAGTGATGAATTGACTCTGGAAGGAATCAAACAGTTTTTTGTCTCGGTCGATCGCGAGGAATGGAAATTTGATACGCTCTGTGACTTGTATGATACGCTTACGATCACGCAAGCAGTCATATTTGTGAATACACGAAAAAAGGTTGGCCAGTTTTTGTGCGATGTGAAATTGGGTCTTACTGATTGCGCTGCACTAGACTTCCTTTCCTGGTTTGCTGTCTGCTTTGTTCCTATGTAATGTGTTTCATTCAGTGGAGACATGCATTCAAGGTTTACTCTCCTTGATTGATACTTTTTAAACATTTGATGGTTTGTTTTGTGTATGGTCAGCTTAACAGGTCGACTGGATGGCAGAGAAACTGAGGGAAGCGAATTTCACAGTGTCTGCAATTCACGGTGAGATGGAGCAGAAAGAGCGCGACGAAATTGTGAAGCAATTCCGTAGTGGTGTGAGGTCCGCTTTACTCAAAAATTCGATGAGCCTGCAAAATTCTGCCTCCTCAAAATCCTTCTGTTCAATCCATTTGGCCGTTAATGTAAACGTGTTTTAGTCGCCTGTTGATTTCAACGGACGTGTTTGCTCGCGGCTTGGACATCCCACAAGTTTCGCTTGTGGTGAACTATGATTTGCCGAATAATCGTGAACTTTATATTCATCGGTTGGTAATATTTTCTTTCAAATCACTTTTTCCTTGCGAGGATCATTCTTATAAAGATGCAGGAATAAGCGTTTTTTAATTACGCTGTTGAGGATACTTTTAGCATTGGACGCTCTGGTCGCTTTGGGCGTAAGGGTGTCGCAATCAACTTCGTGAAATCTGATGACATCCGTATTTTGCGTGACATCGAGCAGTTCTATGCTACACAAATTGATGAAATGCCAATGAATGGTCTGTCGTTTTATTTTTATTTTTTGGTATCATGTGCATCTGATATTTCTCTTACCTAGTATAACAAAAGACATTGCCTGGCTTAGCTCTGCCAGCTGTGTAGCTTTATCGCAGCTGCACTGGAGCTCCAGACACACTCAAATCCTTGCGACTTTGGTACTGTTGTCATTTATTATATATTTGTTAACAGCTACTGACGTTAACATAAGATGGCATATGATCATGATTTTTACAGCTGACAAAACTGTATTATGCTCTGATCTGCTGTCTTTTTTTTTACCGTAGCGCATCATCACGCCATCAGTGCAGTTGACCGGTTTTTCATGGTTGCCGTGACTGAAGCTGCATCAACTTCTTAGTTTACTGAAAATGCTGGTGCTCGCTATTTCACCCTGTGGAATATATATCGCATTTCGCACCGTAGTGGTTCTCTTGTGGTGGCTTATTGACTTCCTTCTACTCTCCCACATCGCACTTGTCAATTGTTAATTTGTCGGAAGTTGACCAAATAAGTATTTTCAAAAGTACCGGGATTCTGCTGCACAGTATTACAGTAGGGCGCAATCGCACAACCTTCAGTCTTCGTTGTTGTTTTCTAATTAATGTTTAATAATTTCAGTGGCGGATCTCATCTGAATACGGTTCAGTCCGGGTGAAAAGCAATGTGATATTTCTTGTTTGCTAAAGCGTTTTCTCCTGCTCTTTCGTCCTATCAGTTTTGTCTTGCATATCGGCGCTTTTTTGCGAATTCGTTTTTGCTGTATCGATTCCAGGTTCACCTGGCAGAATAAGTTTAATTTGCTTCGATTGGCATTGTTGCTTTCGAATTGTATAATGTTGCTGCTGTCACATCACTACGGGATATGAGGCATATTTTTTCTTCATGTAAAATCAAATATCAAAATAAAACCAAATATTCTCATTTCATAGCTACTATTCTATGCCTCCAATTTTGTTTCTGACTGTTTATTTTTCACTTTTATATCTTGTTCTATTGATCATTGAGGCAGAGCTGGTTTGTCGGCCATCGGGTTTTCATTTTTCCCTGGTCTTCTTTTATTGATTTTTTTTGGATTATTATAAGTCTCTTTCATGTACTATTTCATCATTTCCTTGTTTTTGTGCGGTAATAAGTTATCCAGCAATAAATAGCACTCTGATACTCATGTTATGTTATTTTAATTTTTTTTTTTTTGCTTTTTCTAGCTTTAACAACTTTCTCAATAATCTCTTTGATTTTTATTCTGAAAGGCCCAAATTTTAACATGTTTGTTTCTAATTTCCCGCAGTTTTGTCCAGGGCATTTGCTTTCTAGCCCGAATTTCGGGGTCATCAGATTTTTATTAATTCTTCGGCATGACAGGATGGTTAGCGAAATGGACTATTTTTAAAAACTAAATTCATATCGGTAATTCACAAGTACTCGGAAGACGCCAATCGGCGGGTCACTTTTGCAAGCTAACAAAACAAATATGCTCCTAACTTCATTCAACGGAAAAGAAGCTTTCAAAAAATAGTTAAATTTTATTACAAACAAGCTGTTGATGGAAGAAACGTATGAGGTTCTGGAAACACAGGGCAACTGTTCACCATCACTCCTGGTTTCAGGCAGTTACTGCTGCGTTGCCGAATTGCTGAACAGGTAATACCACCAATACACCAACTGAAACTTCAAATATAGACTGAGGCTGCAACGCACCAGACTTGCTGGTGCGAAATTTGTTTTCGCGCAAAGCTTGCAGATCGCTAGCACCAGGAATGGTTCCTGCGCTATATTTTAACACCCAGACTTGTACTGACTGTGTTTTGGCCTCTTTCTGCATGCAGAGGGAAATGCGACGCGTGAAATGGTGTTGCACTATGGGGCCGCATGGCCTTGAGCGTCCATGATTATCGGTTTTTTTACGAAAGCCTGTCGTTTTTCTGGTGAATGCTTGTCCACTGGAAAAATGCAAGTTTGAGGGAAGCCGAAAGAGATCGGCAAAATGATCCACTTTTGAGTTCGCAGTGAAATCGAATATTTGCAACGTCTGCGTGCATGAAATTTCACCTCCAAGCTGAATTAAGGCCACACTTGAATACAGAGTATCGTCGTAAAGTTTTGGCTTTGAAGCTTGCCTGGTAAGCGAGATAGCCACTTTGCCACAAATATCTTTGAAGTGCTTTAAGTCGTGGTCAGCACTCAATTTAGGTACACGATTTCCCATACAGACGATAAATACTCTGACAAAACTTTACCTACTGATTCTCGGCTAGTTTTCGAGTCAGCGCACTGCTAGCTGTGAAATTTGACGTGACCGCACGTGTAGTATAATTGCGCGCGATAGCTGAATTTGAAATCTTTAGCTCATGCGTGCACAGAGAATATCCCTGCAAAATTCCAGCCTTCTATCCTGTCTGGCTCACAAAACCATTTCTCGCCAAAGAAATTTGAATATTTTTTCGCAGGGGAGGAGGGAGGAGGAAAAGAGCAGAGGCGGGAGAGAGGGACGGGGCGGCGGAGGACGGGGGAGGGTGGGTCCGTGCACGAGGTCTGGGCGCGTATGAAGGAGGATTTTAAAACGGGAGGGTGAACGATGGGGTGGGAATATGACCCTAGGATTTCATCTTCCCAGCTTTCTTGGTTGTAGAGTTAGAAATGGGTGACAAAGTTCACTCGCTCCGGAAAACACACACACACACAAGGACGGCCTCTCGATAACATGAGTTGTTGCTTGCCGTAGCGGCGCTATAGCGCTGCAGAACGAAAACGCATAAAAACTGAGGATTTAACGAGACGCTCCGGAAATTGATAATGGATAGGCAGATGCGCAACACAGACTGAAGTTCATCATTAGTCCGTACGTTTCTTGTCAGGTTGCTGCGTTGCCCGGATTCGCTTAGTTGAGGAACACTTTGTGTTCATGTTCTTGCGTTTTAAAAACACCAGGAATTTTTCCAGTCAGGTACGGATGAGGTGTGTTTCTATGATAACCAGTGAGCCTTACTAGGCATTTCAACTGGAAGAAGCCTGCTGCTGGATTGCAGGATTCTATAGGGAATAAATACATATTTGATGCCTGTTTTATATAGAGCAACGAACTGTGGTACGGTCTTGTAAGTCTGCATGCGTTTTCTTGCACATTTCCACTCGATCGGTTCAGTTCCCGAATTTTAAAATCGAGGAAGCTGGAATTTTGAATGCATAATTTCAGGTGATAAAACTACATCAGTGGGGTCTACTTTTAGATCCGCCTGCTTCCACATCTTTGATCTTACTTCCAAACCAATGCTATTATGGGAAAGTGGAAGTTATTGTGAATTCTTGGGAGTTTGTTTACCAAATGATGCGGGATGAGTGACTTGGAGTCCATTTCCTCACTGTGTTTTAACTTATGATCTTCGAAAGCATGTCACTTAACTCCAGAATGAAACAAGTCTTAAATTTGGACTTTTGCATCCGCAATATTACCATGACAGATAAAATCAGCTCCTGCAAATAGGGTATTCATCTATTTTATCACATGAAAAAGCTTCCGTGAAAACTTCTGATTGCGCCGTCTTGTACATGCACCTGTTTATCAAAAATTTTAGTAAAACCTACATTGAAGAAAGTGAAAGCGAGTGGGAAGCACACCAGCGAGAATTTATCAACGATCTCCGGCCTAATGTCTAGATGCAAGAGATTTCGCCTTCCAAGCTCACAGTCATTGCTCACCTGAAACAAACCGGGTATCGTCAGTGTTGAAGCACTCGAAGAAGTGCCACTGCAGCAAGAACAATGGCTCAAACCCTTAATAAGTACCGAGTTATGTTTGGATGCAGCGAACAAAGGATAGGTAGGTCACAAAGCTATAACTGAAGCCCTCCACAGTTTAACGACTATAAAAGATAAAGACACTGAAAAGGGACAAAGCGATCGCGCTTCAGCTTATTGTTTTTTATTCGTTTTTTACGGCTATGCGATGCAGAATAAATAGCAACGCACACCAGACTAGCCGGTGCGATCATGCGTTTGGTGCAATTCAGCCCAACGAGCGATTGCCTATTAATGATTTTCACTGCTTTGTACTTTGGTCCATGCAAAAATAGTTCAAACATTGG